TTATTCATTCTTTTGTGACTATACTTCATGATAAAATTTTTTAAAGTTAATTAGGTTTGAAAAAGAATACAATTTGTGAATGTTTGTCTGCCCTGTAATATGGAAATCTGAGTTTTAATTCACAGATTTGGCAGAAGCAGAGCAGCACAGCTCAAGCACTAGCTCCCAGCAAGCAGCAGGTCAAAGTGTATGCTGGACACCCAGCAGCAGAACGGGTTAGCAAGTCAGAGACTGAGAAGACAGACCCACAGGGGGATGGCCTCTGCCTGGACATCCTGCTCATGGAGACAAGTGTTATGATGACCTGCAGGGATGTGGTGTGGAACATACTAACATATATAAAACAAATGTATCTCACAGAGCCTAGTTTCCAAAGCCCTGTAGTTTCAGGTTTAGCCTAACTTCTTAAAATTACACATAGAAATGTTAACCTTGCAAAAGACAGGAAACTTTCCCCTGGCTAAAGTCTCTGATATAAATAAAAAATTGTAACACAGCAAGGACAGATGGCCTTGGAGCAGGTTAACCTACTAATTGATATGTTAAGAAAGTTCCCTTATTGTTATGTAAAAATACTGAGGAAACTGCTGTATGAAAACACAGTATTTGCTAAGAACAAGCTTTTGTTGGTGGATCGACTTAACCTTTTGTAAATTGCATTATGGAATGTCACTTTGCTTATTTCAGTGATGTTACTAGTTTTCCATTTGTTAGCCATATTCTGCCAATATCCTTGTGTTTTTGTAATGGTTAAATCAACTGAATTTTCTTGTAAAACTTCCTTGTCTTTACAATAAAAGGGTGAAGCTAACTTTGGAGGCAGCTGACACATTCAGTTCTCCCCTCCTAATGAGGAAATTACTGAAGTGCAGTCCATGCTGTGGGCAGAGTAGGGCAGACCATTCAAGGTGGTCTGACATGGCTTAAGCAAGCTAGAAAAGGAGCTTGACCTGGGTTTTTTAATGACATTAGGTGGGAAGCTAGGATAAGAATTCACTCCCATGGGCAGGGGTTTGCATAATTTCAATCTGCTGCCAGTGTGAAAAAAACTGGGAGCAGCCCAGTTTCTTCTCACCTTATCCAGATGTGGGGCCACAAGTGGAAGAAGGAGAGATTAGGATTAGCAGTTGTCAGCAGTCAATCATCAGAAAATGGAGACAGACACTTCTGGTTTCCAGTCTTACAGGGAAGGACATTCCCATCAAATAAACTTAAATCAACAACTCTTCTTACATCTATCAGAGAACTGAATTTTCAAGTAAAATCACTGCCCCAAATTGGAGAGACAAGAGGCATATCCAGAGAATTGTAAGTTACTTGATTAGAAAACCATACAACATCTCTGTGATAAGCAGTACAGGCGTAGAAAAAACTAAACTGTAATTAGTGAATTGCTGAAATTTGAAAGTTAAAGTCTTCAGTGTGCCCAGTTTTAAGAGTCCCCATAAACTCATGAGTTTTATCTCCAGAAACACTACCAGGGTATCACAGTAAAGATCACAGAAAAACTGCTTTCTGCTTTTGGCATGGGAAGGGAAAAAGTAGCCATTTTCAAATATGCCCAGAGAATTCTGTTTTTCTTAACAAGTTCTGTCTTTAAAAAACAAAACTATTTCTCAAATGACTAACCACCTGAGATTTTACCAGGGCCAAACTTCCTGCAGTAAGTAAAATACCCAATTCCATCCACCTCCAAACTTTCTGCCTCAAAACCAAAGGAGTAAGAACTGAGAAGTACATCTGCAAGTCATAACCCCAGGAGGCACAGCCTTCCTAAAAATAAAGCTAAATCATAGGTCTATAGAATGTTTCTCCTTTTGTAGAATACAACTGCAAAACTGTATGCCTCAAGACCTTATTGAAGAAATCCTCAGGGTATGCCAACAAATGAATAACACTGTTGAAGTGGACAAATGTCAAGAATCTCACANTTTTTTTTTTTTTTTGTCCTTTTTGAGACCGGCCAAACCGCGCTCAGCCAGTGAGCGCTGTAAGCGCACCAGTCATCCCTATATAGGATCCGAACCCGT